AGTAACATACTTCTTGATGAAAAGGGAGGAGTTAAATTATGTGATTTTGGTATATCTGGTAGACTAGTTGATAGTAAAGCAAAAACTAGAAGTGCAGGATGTGCTGCTTATATGGCTGTAAGTATATTTAATATTATTTCTTGTTATATCTATATTTTGAAATTATTTCATGAAATATTGTTATAATTTATTTAATTATATATTATTTATTATTAATTGTTATAATTTATTTATTACAGCCTGAAAGAATCGATCCTCCTGATCCAACTAAACCAGATTATGATATAAGAGCAGATGTTTGGAGTTTGGGTATCACTTTAGTTGAATTAGCTACAGGGGTATTTCCTTACAGAGATTGTAAGACTGATTTTGAGGTAAAATAAGTAATATATATTATGTAAAAAATATATGTTACATATTAAATGTGTTTTAGTTATTACATAATTATATTTATATAAATTTGTAGGTATTGAGCAGAGTAGTACAAGATGATCCTCCCTCCCTTCCACCAGATGCATCGTTTTCTAAGGAATTTAGAAATTTTGTGAGTTGTTGCCTTACAAAAAATTATAAACATCGTCCAAAATATCATAAACTCATGGAACATCCTTTTATTCGAAAATATGATGTACCACAAGATGAAGAAACAAACTCTTCAGTTCTAAATTCTAGTTGCCAATGGTTTGGCAGAGTTATGCAACAATTGGAACCAAGGTAAATTGTCAATAATATTAGTTAAAAATACTAAAATTTAGTTTTTAGCTTTTATATAGAATATTTTTGATTAAGAAAGATATATTTGATAAAAAAAATAAGATATGCTATTAGAAAAATTTGTTCTATAAAAAGCGAATAGAGTTTTAAACATGGCATGAAATTCCCAACTAATATCATAATGATTTGGTTTGGTTTGAAAATAACCGGGTATTGTTTTTTATATTAGTTTTAAAAATTTTAACACACTTCAGCATTCATGGTTAATGGGTAGGTATTAAAAAACAGCTCGAAAAATTACGCCGAATTTTAAAGTTGGGTTTTTGTTGGATATTAGTTTTTATATATTTATCTCTTTTTATTCATTACCAAACGACATTTACGAACCTATCCATACATTTCGATTAAAAGTTTGCGTGCGTGTTAAATTGTGTTGCAGCGTTGAGCTTGAGGGAGGCAGCGCAGCATAGCATCCCCTCTCCCTCGCCCCTGCCCCTTTTTCCATTTTCCTTAAAAATTTATCCATAAATTCCAAAAAACTTAAAAAAAATACACCTCACAATTATCCAAAAATCTGCCCGATTTTCATTTCGAGTTGTTTGGTTTGTGCACGCGCCTGTTACACACCCCACCCTTCAACCCTCATTCATGGTAAGCATTGTTTTTATTTATTTGAATATTCATTTATTTGTCTTTATCTTATGTAGCGATCTGCCAGTGGCACAAATAATTTTTTCCTGTGCACACTCCATTCATTATTAAATATAATTATTTTTTCAATTATATTATATTTTTATTTTTATTTTAAATATTAAGATTATTATATCAGTTAAAATTTTCTTATGTTTTTAGCATGCAATATTTCAAATTTTTTATTTTTAAATATAGATATTTTTTATAATCTGTTACCTTGGTAAAAATTCCTCTATCCTTGTTTGTGTTGCATGATTCTATGATTAACGTTCTAACTTCTATTAACCCTCTGTAAATTCAAATTTTTTTACAGAATCATCATGATACAATTATCTTGGTACCAGTGACATTTTTAAATGAACTATGCTAATTTTGGGGATATAGTAATTTATTTTTGATAATATACAAAATTATTGTTTAACATTGTTGGATTTAGTTTCAGATTGCCAGGGTGGCAGCAGCGAATCACGGGTCATGTATCTCTAAAACAAACAGCTCATCTCAGGGCTCAATCTGAAGTACCAGCTTTCCTACGAAGCAATGTCACCAAAGACTCACAAAACTCCAGCTTTTTGCCATTTCATCAACGATCAAATAGTGAGAATGGTGCGAACTACGTATCTTATAGTCCATACGCTCTTAGACGAAAGGAAATTTCCAGGCCATTTTCTCCTCCTTCGTCCAATGAGGCGGATATATCAGAAACGAATTTTCAACGACCATATTCACCATATAAGCAACATGTCGATCAAAATAGGGATTATTCTTCGAATCATTGTTCTATTAATGGACAAGGTAGACAAGAAGGAAGACCGTTCTCTCCATATCGACAAGATAGTACAATAGAAGGAAATAGACTTTATTCACCATATCATGGACGTTTCACGGAAGATCGAGATACCAGTAAGGAAAGATGGCAAGGTGTCTCTAGATCTTTAAGTCCATTTGCTCGAGATTATTCACCATGGAGGAGAGAAAATGTTGACCCTCCAAATGTAATACAATCAACTGAAAGTGGACGTTATTCTCCATTTCTTCAACAACGATTAGGACAAACTCCATCTGTGCCTCAAACTCATCCACAAACACAAGATATTTATGGTAGTCCTATGATTAGTCGTAAAAGGTAAATAACAATATATTATTATAATATGACTAATAATTTTTAGTAATAATAATTATGTATTACATATGTTAATTTTTTTTAATATAGGTTTCCTTCTGAGCCTCCTCCACAAGGATCTCATGGTTCTACTAGCCCTGAATTATTAATTTCTCGTTTTGCTCATCAATTGAAACAAGAACCTTCATCTGTTATGCCACCTGTTCAGGGTGGATCTAAAGAATCTGCCAAGAAACGTTTTGCTTCTTATGTTCGTCTTAGACTTGGAAGTGAACGTGCTCCTTCGCCAGAACCACCACCAAGATTAAGTCGTGGTGAATCTCCTCTCGCCCTTAGAAGGAATTTAATGGATCAAGCCTCTCCTTCTTTTGCACGAAGGTATTTTTATTTTATTGACTTTAAAATGTAAACAATTTTTTAATTTAATTATTCATTCCAAGGTATGTTTCATCTTCTCCGCCTCAACCACCTCCAAGAAGGTTATCGGAAAGTAATTCCGTACCTGGTAGCCCTCAACATGTACGAGCTCGATTACGTTACACCCCTGAACCGCAGAGGAGACCTCCGCCTCCATAACCCACCGTTACGATTAAATCATATTCTTTGTTGGTGCCATATGCGATAACTGAATTTATTACATGTATCACGTAGAACCGTGTTATAATCAACAATGGTTGTGCACATAAATGATCTGTGCACAATATACTTGAAAACAATTCTAAACCAAAAAATAGTTGTTTGTAATACTCGGTGATATTGTGAATTCTAATGTACGTGTTTGAATCATGGATTTGAATACGTACTATGTATGATGTTATTATCGAACATTGAAATTGTTCGCAAGTATAAAAAAAAAGGTAGATTCCTAAATTCGAGAGGACGGTCTTTGGGATTCATTTTTGCACGATTTCCGTGGCAATTAACGTACCGCGTTGAACTACTTTGTCAATAATTCTCTTATCGACGTGTATTTATATAGAATGCAATCACTGATGCAATACGATGCTCAACTTTTTATATTGCTTGTAAAGATATAAATAAATGTAGTATGTTCGACGTTTTTCTAAAAAAAATTAATAAAAAATAAAAAATAAAAAGAATTAGAAAAAAGAACAAAAAAAGACGAAAAGAAAAAAGGAAATCGTTATTAAGGGATGCGGCATCGTACTGAACGCGTAAACCGTTCCTATCATTCTTCGTTTACGCTTCTTTTCTTATCGAGGGACAAATGAGAATACGTGAAACCAAACTTGTAAAGTAGTTTTCTCGTCCTCGGGCGGCCTTGCAGTATCTCTGCAATTTGACTTAGTTATGATGATTTTTCACATTTCATTATCGTTTGTAAAATAATATCAAACGCATACAGCGATCACTGAATCAATTGAGTGAAAACCAAATCATAAAAAATATTAAAACGACGTTTCCGTAAGGAAAGCACAATATTCACGTCTCCTAGATTCTACGAGTTTCAACAAATGTATATTATTTATATAAGAGGCGTGTTTGGGCTAGTACGTTGTAATTATTATTTTTAATTAACATTTATTCATTAACTTTGTTCAATCTACACTCGTAATCACCTTTGTCGCTTATTTGACAAATGGATCTGTTGCAATGTAAATAAACTTATATTTATACGATACCATTGACTTATTTCATTTATTTCATTATTTGCATTGAAAGTTTCGGAATAAAAATTATATTCATTAATATTTATGATTATTGTTCATTGGCGTAGCCATTTATTAATGTATTTTTATCGTGTACTGCCACGTAATGCTAAGCAATTTCTTTTTGTTAGGCGCTCATGCGCGATGCTATTATTGCTTCGTAATGGTTTCATTTAGTTGTAATAATTATATTATGAAAATTTTCTATTTTATTATAAATATTAATAGATTTATAAAATAATAATATTTTCATTCGAAAGAATAATTGTATGTTAGAAATCTGAATTTATTGTCTTTAATAAAACAGCATTATTAATATTTATATTAGTATTGCTTCTTTTATATAGGTGAATATATGAAATCGAGAATAATGAATTTTTCTATAATTATTAAATTAAAATATTATATAAAATCACATAAATATTACATTAATTTCTAATTTTTTTATATGGTTTCAGTTATAAGAAAAATTAGTTTGAATAAAAAATTAAATTATTACAAAATATTTTTTTTAATCTAGTTGAATTGAAAGTAATGAAATAGTAACGAATTCATTATCTTTTTTGTTCTCAATGTGTAAGTGCATAGACTTATGGTCGTATATTATATAGATATGCATATTGTACATTTTTTATGTAATTCATGTTTATTAATATTATTTATAAACAATATAATATATTAAAAGCATTGTATAACTTTTTAAAATTAAAAGAGACTATATAATTTTATATGAAAAGGGCTTGGTCGAAGATCATTTTAAAAATAAATTCTTCACTCGAATCGGCCCGTCCCTGAGTAATCAATATGGCCTCCAGGTCTACGCGGGGCACGCTAACGTAGTGTAGATATTTCTTCAAAAATCTGTAGAACAAACAGTTTCTGTGATAATATAATTAGTCAAGCTGTTAAAGAGTGTATGGAAAGATATTTTCGTGGTATTTTATAAAATATCAGTGATAGTATTCAGTCAGGAACAAATTTAGAAGGCATTCCACTGCCGTTGTAACTACTACTTGTACTTTGCGGAAGACATCGTCAACGTTACAGTACGATTCAGTAGTCGTTCAGCATTTAACAATTAATTTATTGATCGCTAAATCTTACAATGAGGTGGCAATTTAAGTGTAAAGATTCATAGTTTCCAGTTATTAAAATCTAATATTATGTCTGAAAATAAGAGCAAAGAAGATGCCACGATGGAGGGTTGTCAAGAAGGGGGCGAAGAAGAAGGTATGGCTGCCGAAAGGGTCGAAGATAAGGTCAGTATCCAACAGATTCTCGAGGGTATGACTAATGAATTTAACAAAAGTGTAAGTCCTGTCAAAAGTACAGAAATTAATCGATCAGAAAAATTGGATCATGAGGAGATTGAAAAATCGGAGATAAATTTTGATAAATCAGCAATTGAAAAAGAATTTGCTGGAGATAAGGATATAGAAGATATTTCAACAAAGCAAAAAAACACAGAATCAATGTTAACAGATGAAAATCATAGAGAAGATCATAAAGAAGATACTGGAAAACAAGAAATTTTGAAAAAAGATAATGGAATTCCGCGTATCGTTCTTACTTTCAGAACAATCGACGAAAATACCGATGATGGTAAAAAAACAAAGATATCAAGTTGTTCCTCCAACCTTACTTTAGTTCCTGATGAATTGGTAAATTGTGATCAAATTGGCGGTGTTTCTGTTAAGATTGAAAATTCAGATGAAAACTCCGATAATATTGAGAAATCAGATTCAGAAGAAGGTAGACCAGAAGAAATAGCCATAGAATCCAAAAATAAAGAATCAGAGGAAAAGATAGAAGAATCAAAATTACCAAAAGAAGATATGAGGGTAATAACAGAAGATAAAACTACTATTTCTAATGAAAAAACAAAGACTGATGAAGCAGATACTTCAATAGAACCTACAGAACAGGTGGATCAAGCAGACAGCACAGTTCCAGTTACTAGGAAAAGAAGAACAGGACGACCTAGATTAAGAGCACTTAGGTTTTTTATTTTCTTTCATTTCAAATATATAAAATATTATGCATGATATTTGTAAACATTTCATGACATTTTTAGTGATCACACTGAAGAATCTCCAGGTCCTAAACGTTCTGCAAGGAGACTATGTAAAGAAACATTAAAGAGTACTGTATTAGAAAATGCAATGGCAAGGAAAGAAAAATCTAATTATACAGAAGAAAATTTACAATTTAAAAAACAGCGGAAATATAACAAACCAGGAAGACCTAAAAAGGTGATACAAGGAAAGGATCAAAACAAACAGTTGCAAACTAAACCTCCTGACATACGTCAGGAAATAGAATCTTCCATTTCAGATGGAAATATCACTATTTCTGAGGTAAATTCAACATTAGAATATTCTAGAAATTCTATATCAGAAAATAATGCAAATGAGACAATCCTGGATGAATCACAAAATTTTTCATCTGATTTTGATGGTATGCCAAAATTATCTCCTATGATAAAAAGTTCAGAATCTCAAACAAAATTGAATAACTCAATTGGTAGTTCCGCAAGCGATGATATATCTTTAGCAGATATTGAAAAACCATTTCTAAAACCTGCTGCTGGTAGACCTAAACGAGAAAGAGGAAGACCTAGAGGAAGTCAAGCTGCAAGAAAAATAGCAAAAGCAGATTCATTCGAAGGTATGAGAGGTATATTTTATACAATATAGAATAGATTTTTCACTTCAATTTATTTTGCTTTAAATTTTTGACTTATATGTATACTTATATATTTTTTTTTAGATGGCTCTGTATCAATTGCAGAAACAGGAAAAAACAATGATTATCCTGAAGGTAATATTTAAAAATTTTTTAATATTCATAATTATTATAAAAAATGATTATATTAATTTATATATGATTGTAGAAAGCATTGTACCTATAAAAAGAACAAGAAGAAGTATGGCTCCAAGTCCAAGTCCTGCAGAAGGACAAGCTTCAAAGCCAGAATCAACAGCAATTATGAGTGAAGTTGGTAGAATGAATGAAAAAAATTATATATATTTATTATTATTTAACAATTTTATTTTGTTTAAAATATATATTTCATATTTTTTATTATATTTTTCAGACATATAGTCAATCAATGTTATGTTTATGTCAAGTAAGGTCTCAACTATATGTAACAATAACTGGTTCTGGAGCACCATTATATTGTACTGCAATAGATTCTATTGATAATAGATTAGTAGGATGTTGTAATGAAGTTGATAGCAATGATGTGGCAATGAGAAGACCGAGTACTCGTGTTCCTTTTATTATTTTATGTCGAATGCATAAAGAAAGGCTTTTGAGACATAATTGTTGCCCTTCTTGTGGATTGTTTTGTTCACAAGGAAGATTTATACAATGTATTAATGGTCATCAATATCATCGTGAATGTGAAATTTATCCAAATAAAAAAGGCGTATGTCCACATTGTGGAAATGAAACTACAGCATATGATGTAATGGTCACCATGAGTGGATTAAGAAAACCTGTATTCATTCCAACTCGAAAAAAATTTTCAAAACTTCCTTCTGCAAAAATGAGTTTACCAGGAAAGGGTGATAATACAAAGTTAGCAGAGCGTCCTCCTAGTCCTTTAATTCAACCAGATATTATCAAAATACCTGAACCATCAGTTAATTCTGAAAGACCTGAACGTTATACTATTATGAGCCTTTATACATCTGTAAAAAATGGAGATTTGGAAAAACTAGTTAATGTTTTAGGTGCGTTATTATATATATTTTTCAATTATAAAAAAATCATTTATAAATTATCTTAATATTTTAGCATGTGGATATAATGCAAATCATACATTCCGAGATTATGCTCATCGGACTGGACTTCATATAGCCGCGGATAAAGGTCATTTGTCTTGCGTACACGTACTAGTACAAGCTGGCGCTCAATTAGACGTGATGGATAGAAATCAATTAACACCTTTGATGTTAGCTGCTAGTAAGGGTAAAGCTGATGTAGTAAAATATTTAATAAGGATAGGTGCTGATGTTACATTGAAAGGAGAAGATGGTATGACTGCTTTACATATGGCTGCTAAATCTGGTCATTTAGAAGTATGTAGGATAATTTTGACAGAATGCAAAGCACCAAGAACATTAGTAGGTAATTAAGTTTTTATTAAAGTGATATATTATATTATATTATATGAATTGTTTATTATTATATTGCATGTAATAATAATTTCATTAGATTCAGTTGATGATGGTGGATGGACTAGTTTAATTTGGGCATGTGAGTTTTGTCATACTGATGTCGCACGATTCTTATTAGATAGAAAATGCGATCCTTTAATTCGAGATGCAGAACAAAATATAGCATTGCATTGGAGTGCTTTTAGCGGAAGTTCAGAAATTACAGAAATGTTACTTAATGAAGGTTGTGATGTAAATGCTGTTAATGTTCATGGTGACACACCTTTGTAAGTTTTTAAATAGTTATATTTATTTTTAGTATGTTTAAAATGATAAGTTTTCATATATAATATTTAATGATATTATAGGCATATAGCAGCAAGACAAGATCAATATGCAGTTAGTGTTCTTTTATTAGCTCGTGGTGCTAAAATAGGAGAAGTTAATGCTGCAGGTGAAACAGCAGTAAATTGCTGTACAAATGATGGTGATACTATGTCTGCTTTAAGATTAAATGCCAAAGTCAATGAACTTTCTGAACATATGTGGGAAAAAACAATCAAAATATTAACTAAGTAATTACAAAATTTAATGTTTTTATTTTCAATAAAATAATAATAGTGAAATTACTTTACTTTATTACTTTATTTTGTAGTGATATTTCACGTGGTAAAGAAACGAATCCAATACAATGTGTTAATGGCTATGATTCAGAAGATAAGCCAACAGATTTTCTTTATGTAACGGAAAATTGTTTTACTAGTAATATAAATGTTGATCGTACAATAACATCTTTACAATCTTGTCGATGTGAAGATAATTGTAGTTCAGAAAAATGTTTATGTGGAAACATAAGTTTAAGATGTTGGTATGATGAAGAAGGAAAATTGATTCCAGAATTTAATTATACAGGTAATATGCTGCTTGGATATCTTTTGGATATATTTATTTTTTAAAATGTATAAAAAATATCTTCTATCTAGATCTTTTATTTTTTATTTAGATCCTCCAATGTTATTTGAATGTAATCCAGCATGTGACTGTAATCGTATAACATGTAATAATCGTGTTATTCAACATGGTCTGACGCAAAGATTTCAATTATTTCGAACCAAAGGTAAAGGATGGGGACTTAGAACGCTACGGCACATTCCGAAAGGTTCCTATGTATGTGAATATGTTGGCGAAATTATTTCGGATTCTGAAGCAGATCATCGAGAGGATGATTCTTATTTATTTGATTTAGATAATAGAGTGAGTATCCAACATTGGAAAATATATAAGATTGAATGATTAAAGATCAAATTTTATATGGGTATAGGATGGAGAAACATATTGTATTGATGCCAGACGGTATGGAAACATCGCTCGTTTTATAAATCATTCTTGTGCACCCAATCTCTTGCCCGTGCGAGTATTTGTTGAGCATCAGGATTTGCATTTTCCTAGGATAGCATTTTTTGCGAATCGCGACATCGAGGCAGATGAAGAGCTCGGGTATGTTAAAAAAAAACGATTGGCACGTGGAAATTAAAACATATGTATATATTAGTAAACGACGTTTCATGCTATTTCTTTTGATTAATAAACCATTTCTGGTTTGGTTTTGGTTGGCTAATCGATATCGCTGGTAATTTTAGTTTCTTCGCCTTATTCTTTCTCAAAATTCTGCTTCCCTCTTTCTAAATATGTGAGCTTAATGTTGTTTCCATATCTTAAAATAGATAAATTGACATATCGAGTATATTTATTACTTTATTTTCCTTTTCTCTCACTGATTTTGAAGATGGTAAGTTTTCGTATTATCTTTATTAAGAAGATTAGTTTATTGAATTATATAGTTATTATTAATTATAAGAACTAAGAACTTGAAGGCTATAAGGAATATACTTATTTCTCCTTGTCATTTTTGAACATCGATTTTTATTAATATAATTATATATTTATCACTGAAGATCAATATGGAATTGTTTGCCTTCAGCTTCGATTATGGAGAGAAATTCTGGATAATAAAATGCAAGTCATTCACATGTACCTGTGGAGCCGAAAACTGCCGATATTCTGAGAAGACTATACAAGTTACTTTGGACAACTACCGCAGAAAAATACAGCAAGAAGAAATGCTGGCAGCTCAATCATCGTAATCCTAAACCAATTTAGCAAATTCTATATATACTTATTTTAGTTATTAGTTTAATGTTCTTCCTTCTTATTACTCGGAATATTAATAGAGAGAATCTCTAATTTTTCCATTTATTTTAAAACGATCTTAAATTATGAAATTGAAAGAAAGTACAAATGGTGGTGGGATTTGAATTTGACACAAAAATAATTAAAGAAAGTGTTATCTTGCTATACGAGCTAAGAAGGAACTACGTTTTTCTTATTCCAGTTCGTTGAAATCGAACACATCGAAATCCATATTAATTTTTTCAATTGATCATATTTTCCTACTTTTGCCAATTATCTTGAGGATATAAAATTTATCATAAAAATATTTGGACGCTATAACTTTAATTTATATGCTCTACATTTGCAATAAATATGCTTAAAATAAAAAAAAAAATGTTTTGCATTATATTAAAGCATAGTATAGATGCTAGAATATAAAAATTTTCTTAGTACAAATTATTATTAAATATTTAAAATGAATTTTCGAATATAAAAATAATCGAATATTTAACAAAGTTAAAATAAATAAAATAATAATTTTTTATAGGAGTCAAGTATTGGATTTGATATCCTTTTAGTTTTATGATACATTTTAACCAGTTCAATGTATTGAAAATTATTTTTTGTTCATAATATATTTTATGTCTTATTTCTATTTTAGACGAATTTATCATTTTTCTCGAGTATGTATTAATTTTATTTATTTTCTACTTATGATCTAATTTCTTGCAGAATTGTCATACAATTTGCAATATATTTAAATATTTTCATAAATTAATAAAAATACTTCGATTTATCTTATAGTATTCAGATAATAAACTAGCAATTTTTTTTTGTATAAAATAAATTAACAAATCTTTTGTTTTCTGTATTTATATATTTTATTATATAATATTATATGTAGTATTATAATTCTTTTATAATGTTATATATAGATAATCAAATATTTTAGTTATTTTAACTTAATTTTGTAAGTGTCCAAATATTTTTGCAATATAAAAATTTATATTATTTTGTCATTTTTTTTAAGTAACAATTGAATTAAGACAAAAACTTTTTATGTTAATATCTATATATTATGCTATAAATTGCAAAACATTGTTGGTTTATTTATATTTATTTTAAATATAGAGCATAGAAGTCAAGAGTTCGAATATTTTTGTGATCATTTGTATCTCAGGAGATGTGCCACTTTATGATTCTTAGTTTTTAAATAATAAAATAATGATATGCATAATATATAATTGTTATATAGATTCTGTACGTAACGTATGGATTATAAAGGAATGTGTGTTTATAATTATTATAGTTTTGCGAACGATGTGTGTGATTAGGAAAGAATTAAGTACTGGTTGGTGTACGTTATGAATGCAGTATGTTTGAAATTCGTAACAAATTTCGTGTTTCGATTAAAGTTACGAATTCGATATTTGCTTATTGAGTTGTAGAGAATGATTGTTTATAAATGTTCGTATTATTACAAACAGTTTAGAACATAAGTACACCTTTTTGTACAAATTATTGATTTTTTGTATAATAAAAGAAATGTAGTTCTTTTTAAGATATATTTTTGTTTAATTTTTGAATACCCGATTTGAATAATAACATCTTTAGCAACTTTAATAGTGAACTTGTAAGAATAGTTTTACAAAATGATAAGGAAAACTACAACCACAGATAAGATAAAGAATAGATTTAACATTCAACGCATTTTCTTGTTCTATGTTTTAGGGGTTCCCTTACTATTTTAGTGTTATTTTCATAGACCTAATTTTCAACATTATTGATTCAGCATAATAAAATTAAAATTCAAATTAAATCTTAATGTGAAACTATAAATAAAGAATAAAAATAAAGTGATCATATATGACAGAATATTTTATATTATTTTTATATTAATTTTATAATATAATTTTATATAATATCTTATTATCTTAAATTTGTATGAAATATTAATTTAAATTGAGGATTATTCTTTTATAAGAATAAAAATTTGAAGAAAATAAGAATATTTTTTTTAAAATCATACATAATAATATAATAATACATATAATAATATAAATAACTTGTTATTTTAGAGTTAAGAAAATAAATTATTATAAAATATTATGAAAAATAGAAATTTTTAATAATTTATAATAAAATATTATACAAATCTATAAAAATATGTAAATTGAAATAGTACTGGAATTTTTTCTGATGCTGTTTTTTTATATGCTGTTAATTTAGTATAAATTATTTACATAAAAAATTTTTATTTCATATTGTAATTATTTTTGATAATTAATAATGATAATGATCATTTTAACATGTGATTATTTTATATCTATTTATACATATACATATTATATATTTTTCTCGTCATTTAAATGTCATTTATTTGAAGGCAGCTATGAATTATAAATTAATCATCATAAAAAATTACATTTAATTTTAATTTATAAAAATATATTGTTGTAATAAATGGTTAGAATTGTAAAAGAGTAAAAAATCTAAAAATCATTGAATTTTTATTATTATATTCGAAAAATCATTTTTTATGCCATCGGTAAAGATCGTGTGTTTTCGCCAAACTTCGCAATAGTAATGAACTTTAATATTTTTATATAGAATGGATTTCGAAGGGAGGTTATTTCTTATCAAACTAAATATAAATAAGTATAACTAAGTATAAATAAGTATAAGTATAACTAAATATAAATAAATTGGAATTGTAATATTTTAATAAAATGTTACATTAATTAATTATTCTCTAATAATATAAAGAAAAAATTTTAATTATTTATTTCCAAAAAATCTATTATAAATTATATTATTGTAATAATTTTTATCAATTAATTGTTGTAATATTCATTTATTAATTGATTGATTGATTTATGTATTTAATAAATATTGTTTATTTATAATTTATAATTAAATCATCATTGTATTTCTAGAATATTTCTAAATATTTTGTAATTTATTGTAAAAATTTTCAAGTATTTATAATATGCAAATATATATTATATTTAAATACGATTATAGGTATAGATATAGGTATAGGAAAATATGATTTAAGGTATAAGCGAAAATTTACAATATATAATTTTTGTAACGGTTATATGAAATTTATTGAAATAATTTAAACATTTGCTATATTAAAAAATATTTCATAATTTATAAATAATATTTTAAATATCAATTTTCTTAATTATGTAATAGAAAGTGAATAGTAATTGATTATAGAAGAATAACATTAATTTATAATTAAAAGCTTTGAAATTAAAATATATTTATTAGAACAATAATCATTTCTAAAAATAATAAATATAATATATTTGATATATTATTGAAAAAATATAAAAATATATTTGATATAATTATATTAAATTAATAAATAATAAATTATTATTAATAAAAAATAATTTTATTATTATTAAAATTATATATTATATTATATATTAAAACTAATAAAATAAATATTAATAATTATAAAATTTAAAGAAATTTAGAGGCAATCAATCAATGACATATTTTTTTTTTAAATGTTTTATTTAATCGTTAATCAACTATAAAATAAATATTTGATTAGTGTGCACATCTCATAATTCAGGATTCCGAATTGAAAGAAGCGTAGCATGATTCTAAGTTTTTTGAAGAAATTTGCCTCATGAAAAAAAAAGTGAATCTATAATAATTAAAAATAAATTTCTCCTAATAAAAATAAGTCTAGGATTAATCTTTATGTTAATAAAAACGTGATTGACGTTTGTATGCGAATCAAATGGAATGAATATGATAAATTATTATTATAATATGATAAATTATTATAATTATGCAATTGAGAAGCGATTCTAAGAATGCACATGAAGATTTCGAATACATAATATCATATGGTAAGATTTTGAATAAGATAACTAAATGAAAAGGAGAATTAGATGAATGTGATGCAGAAATATTGATAAGCGAACAAAGAATAAGTGAACAAATAAAGCGTTTTTATTACAAAGAGAATCCTTTTGTATTTTTCAGTTTTTTTCCATATATAAGAGATTTAAATTAAAATAATTTTTATATAAATATAAAAGTTAAATATTTATAATATTATAATAATTTACAATTATAATAATTTACAAAAAATGTGTTCTCATTAATTTCAATGATTCTTAAATATATTGAAGGAATTTTAAATAATTTTAAACAAAAAAAATTTTTTTTGTTTATATAATAAAAAAAATAAATCTTAATTTCTAAGATATTCATAAAAACATTTTTATTATTATTATGATATATTTTTGCAATAAATTTTGATTAATATATAAAATATACATGAAAAAATATATCTAAATATATCTATTGCGAAATATAAAAGAATAATTAATATTTGTATGTATATAAAATTATATTAATATTTGTATATATATATATGTATATAAAATATATATATCCTCTGCAACATATAAAAAAAAAAATACATATATATATACATATAAAAATATATATATATACAAAATATATACATATTATTTACGATATAATAATATAATATAGATATAAATATATAAACATATAAATATAAATATAAAAAAATAAACATAAAGTATATATACTTACGATATATAAAAATTGAATTGGATAGACTGTATTAAGATTTTTGATTAATAGGTTAAGCAAAGAAACAATAAAGTTGATCAAATATCGAAGCTGTTTCTTAAAACGCATTAATTTTGCAGGACAAGTATAGACAAAGAGAGAAAATAGTGGAAGAAGAATATAGATAAAATAAAAATTGTGGAATCAACGCCATCTCTAGAGTGTCGCAAATGAAACTCATAAAAAAGGATAGTAAACAATAAGAAAAAGATAGAGATAGAGGAAGAATTGGCTACTAGCGTCATCTTTTAAATACCAAAGACATTTCTTCACAAGTAGGATAAAGTAAACTAAGAATTAAACAGCAACGCCATCTTTTGTATGTTTTTAGAAAGATTCTTTTTTGAAAAAATATTTTTTATCGAGAGATGGCGTTTGTTGACAATTCTGATTCACTGTCTATCTTTCTCTCATTATTTATTATCCTTTTTTATACGTTTTATTTGCGGCACTCTGAAGATGGCGCTAATTGCTGAATTTTTACTCTATTTCTGTCTTTTTTCCACTATTTGTTTTCTTTGTCTATCTTTAATCTTGGCACGAAACTACAGATGCGTATACAGGAGATAATTCAATATATTTTCATTTTTTTTTTTTAAACTACAATGTATTTTAGCTTAGTAATATATATTACAAAAATGGATATTATATTTCTTAATTTTATATAAATATAGAACTCTTTAAATATAAAATTTGAATTAAATTTTAAGAATATAAAGTAAAAATTTAAAATTCTTATTAATATCTAATATTAGTTTTAAATTAATATGTTATAATTATTGTTATAATTATAAAATTATTATATAAAAAAAATTTTTTAAAATTATTGTATAATATTGTATAAAATTATTACAAATTATTATAATTATTATAAATTAAGATTATTATTTTATTTCTAATTCTTATTTTTTTTAATTAAAT